TAACATTGTTACTGTAACAGCTTTCCATTGGCCTTTTTTCCATTCTTTATGTCTTACGTTTTGGGTGTGTCTCTCATAAATAAATAGCATACAGCTGGGCTTAGTTTTTCCATGGACTCTTGACGATCTCCAAATTTTACTCAGGAAGCTTAGTCCATTTATTATGTATATAGTGACAGATATATTTCGTTTCATTTCCACCACCTTAGATTGTATTTTCTTTCTACACCATTTTCTCTGTGCTTCCCACCTCCCCCCCCCACCTCTTTCCTGCCTTCTTTTGGATTAAGATTTTTTAACTCCATTTTTTTTGTACCACTAGTGATATGAAGTTTTAACCTTTTCATATTTTTTCCCTATTATAACATGAATTCTAGACTTCAAGCAAGTCGAAACGTTCATCGGTGACTTTACCCACCAGAACAACAGTAAGAACATCTGAACTGTTATCAGATTTAAACCCCTCTGCTTGCTTCTTTCTTACTTTTATTGTGTTTTTTAATGGAGAAATACATCATCTGTTTTCAAAATAGTGCTTGAAAAATACAAGGAGTACAGATACTATAAAACAAAGCAAACTCCAGTCATGAGATGCTATACACGCCATAGGAAAAAAATAGTCTGATGTTCAGGTAACGAAAACTAGAATTAAAAAGCTCCAACTTCCCAGCTTGGTGAAACAAGTACAGTTACACGAAACATTTAATAAACTAATTTTTCGCCAATGTGTGAACAAAATGACAAGACTAAATCTGTGCGTGGCAATTTCAAGGACACAATAGCTATTCAAAATACACAGGTACTGTACACACTTCACCTGATTTTACTGTGGTGGAAGGGGACTGCACAGGTAGTGGGACCGTGTACTGGGCGTCAGAAAGTCATGGTGAACAGAAAGTCTCAGTTACTGCACAGCGCAACAGAAATGACTATATTCCAACTTTGGGGGAAATTATTTAAAAGGATAGGGAAAGGGTTTAAGAAGCTGCAGTTTAACATGAAAAACGCACACGTGGTAGAAAGGAACACTGTTGGGGGACAGGAAGAATCAGCATCAGGCTATTTGGAAAACCTGTTAGGTTTGCTGTGTCCAGATTAAGAAAGACTGTTTTCATTCACCTACAACTGCTGAGAAACATGAATGTTCTGCTGCTAATTATGAGCTTTTTTTTTTTTTTTAAAAGAAAGGTTATTATTTCGAATCTTTTGCAGGATAAAACAAAAGAGTAGAAAGCTGACTAGATGTCAAGTGCTTGCTAGAAATTTCTGATGTTTCTACATGTAAATTTTACTGATGAATTTTAGGAAGTCATTTACAAATAAAAATTGGTTTAAAATTCTGGAGAAAATGCTTTTTTGCTTACGTTTAAATTAGAAATTAACTTTACTATAAGCAGGTATTCTGTGGAGTATACAAATCTTCTCTTATGTGGAGACCAAATGGCCATCCAAGGTGGACAACATGCTTCACAGGAATTACTTTCAGTAAAGCTTTACTAAAATATTAGCCATGTGGCCACAGGACTGTTGGTTTCACATCATGGTTAAGAAAATACTAGCATACTGAGTTTTCTGTGAAACGATATACAAGCATACCTTGTGCACACAAGCAAAGAGAAGGCGGCGGGGGCAGGGGACACAAAAAGCTTTTTTTCTTTTAGGGCAAATGATTAAGGACAAGAGAATATGGAGCTTTGTTAGCTCAAGACAGTATCCGCTGTTTGACGGCTGATTGTATGCACTCTGAAACAGTTCTTCAGATAAAACCAATCATTTCTTGATCCCGTCCCATCAAAACCAAACACTTACTAATTACTGTTTCAATGCCGAATATATACCCTAAGAGTTGGCATTTCATTTTAAAGGGCTACAGCTGTCTCACAGGGACAGAGCCAGATGTACTTTATGCTTTTTCTGAAGTACAGTATGCCACTGCACAATGGTAGCCAATCTGAGATTAATAATGAAGAACATCATTCAGGAAAAATCTGAAATTCATCAAGCTGAAAAATCTAAAATTTGTTCTACTGTCTAATAAAAATATAAAGTGCATCACCAGCATGGAATTCTGATACTAGTTTGTACTGCAAACTTTCCCCAACAACGCATCAAACATCAATCCAGTCCCAATGTCAGTCATGGGTACAAACATAGCTGGAGGGTTTTTTTCTCTCTTTTTCCTCTTTAAGGGCAGGAGTCCTTTGAAATAGTTAGCGTTTAACTGTGGCTGACACATAAATAATCTGACACATTAATTAACAGTACTTCTGGCTTCACATACTAACCTGGACTTCTGATTAAGATAAGCCCAATAAAGGAAGTCATCAAATAAGCCTAACAAAGCTATTCTGAACCATGTCTAGCTTGGTGCCCTTCGTCCTCCTCCTTTAGCATTTGAAGACAGCAGGCTGAGTTGGCACATGCTGTTTACAGACCCTTGAGATTGTTTTTCTCAGTTCAATCTGTTTTACTGAATTCTTGATAATAGGAATAAGATTTGCAGGGAGCGCAGGGGTACTGAGAAGGTCTGCACTGGATGTTCCCCATGAGGCCAACAGAGAAGCTGCTGTCTGAATAGTTTCCAATTGAGTCACACCTGTCTCTTTATGAGACCGTTCCTCTTCTGTTTTGGTTTCCTTGGTCCTTTCTTCTTTGTGACGTGACAATGTCCTCTAGACTCCTATAATAGGGTTAGCTATGTTTGCTGCTGCGCTCCCTGAAGGCCTGGGTGGACGGTTGACCAGAGGTGTTGAGGAAACAACTCTGGTGACCATGGGCTTCGGCGGTGGAGAAATAGTTGGTTGTGGGGCAGTCTGAGGGATGCTTCCGCTGGACGTGCCCCCCAGGCTGTCGCTGGGATTTGCTTGTTGTAAGGAAACTTCAGGAACCTGTACGCTGGTCACAGATGCTGCCATCATAGCCGGGGCAGGAATGCTTCTGCCCTGAGTGCCGCCAGTCACTGGGCCAGTCTTCATAGAGCCAGGAAGTGAAGACACAGACGTGCTGTCTTCACTGTCTACAGACAAGTCGAGGCTGCCGTCATCCAAAGCTGTCCATCTGACACCTTCCATCGAGTGTGTTTTCTTTTTCTGAAGCACGTGACTAGGTAGTAGTTGATGAAGTTCCTTTCTTCTCAAATGCATTGCAGCAATTTTCATATCCATCTCAAACATCTTACTATTTATCGCTTGCCTATAAACTGTATCTGTGAAAGACTGGATATCATAGGTGAGATCAATACTGAGAATGTCAGAGTTTTCTGGCTTTTTTAACACTAACCCAATCACCCACATTGTACGAAATTCTTCCCTGTCAGGATTTTCCTTGGGTGCTGGAAACGACTGAGGATTCACATGTGCCAGTTTAATAAATTCATTCTTCTCCAAGCTTCCAACCAGGATTCGGATTTTTGATTCCACCAAGCCCACCCATTCTAGATGTTGTTTTTCTGTTGGCGCACTTGCTAGAAGTACAATATAATGCTTGTACTTTTGAAAGAAGCTGGGAGCTTCAAAAAGTTTGGACCACTCTGCCTTACTCAGCAAAATCTCATGCGTAATAGCAAGCCCTTGCTTAAACTCCTCAATCATGACCATCCTTGTTGAAACAGACACGTTGTACGTGGAGTTCTGCTGTGGGTACGCTGGTGTAATTATAGGCATGAGATGGTACCTATCGCTGGGATTTACTCTTGGGTCCCAGACAGGCAAATTAAGATTCCGTTCTTCAGGCTCTTTCAGTAGCACTGGATTTGGCCATTCCCATTCAGAAAACACCAAGAAAAATTTACGTACAAGAGTTGCTGCTATCGCGTTTGGATAAAGCTGGCAAGTTCTTGCTACTAGCATCGCCCAGGAAACACCTCCTAGGAAACCTAATATATTGGAATAGATATTGTGGCATTTGGCCCACAACTTGATGGCTCTCAGAGTTAATCTGAAGTTGTCAATGTTTGGTACTAGATGTAAAATCTCATCAGTTACCCGGCAACCATTAAGACTTCTTATGCACCTAATATCTAAATTTTTAAGCAGACTGTCATCTCTTAGGTCCAAATCTTCCGGAATAGTCTGCAGTGCTAATCTTGCAAACAAAATATCAATCTCTATCCCGTCAAAACACAGTTTGATAACTGGTACAAATGCCTCTTCAACAGCCCTTAAATCCTTTACTTCTTCATGTAGTTTCAATTTACCATAGAAGGAGGTGAAAAAATCGCTTCGATCAACATGTCTTGGTGCCACGCACAACGCGTCGATATCGGCACCTTTCGTATGCACCCCTAATCTATAAGAACCGAATGTAAAGATTTTCCCTCCAACGTTTTCTATTACAGCTTGTGGAAGACTCTTGCTTTCACTGATTTCTCGTATCCATTCCTTTACCAGGTTATTTAATTTCTCCAAAATTAAAATCCTGCGCTGTAGCTCCTCTTCCTCTTCAAAAACCCCAAAGGGCTTCAGGGTTTCAATTAATTTCTGGGTAAGTATGCAGTCAGTCTCCCTGGGGGGTGCTAAACTGATGGGGGAGGAGACGCCATAGTGCTTGGGTGGCGGCGGGGTCTGTTGTGATCCCGGGGTGGTCACCGGAAACGGCATCATCTCTAGCGCTGGCCCCGCCACGCCGCGTCCCCCGCCACCGCGACCTCCGCGGCCGCCCGGGTCATGATCCGCTGAGGCGGGAGGGGCGGGGCTCCTACCAGCCCAGGTCCGACCCGCTCCCGCTCCGCTCCCGCCGCTTCAAGCGCCTCTCCGCCGTCCCCTCGGCCCCAACATGGCGCCGGAGCCCTAGCTGCTGCGTTCTAGAACGCCCACGCACGCCACGCCGCGCACCACGCACGCCGCGTGCCACGCATGCCACGGCGCATGCGCGCGCGCAGAGCCTCACGGGGGCTGTAGTTTCCAGGTCTCCGCCGCGGCTTCTGGCCGGTGGGGGCCGGCACGGCTGCGCCCCGGGGTTCGGCCCTGTTATAACTGTTTTAGACGTTTGCCCAGACCTACCGTCCAACTCCCTGCTCGCCATTCTCTACACCCCGGGTCTCCTTCCTCTCCAGTGGCATCTTCAGGTGGCCTTTGCCCTCTGGCCCATCCTTTGGAATCCCTCTATGGCAGGGTCCGTTGGTGGGAAGCAGCTCCGTGGCATCCTCCGTGGCCCGGCGCCTGGGTGGTGGGGCAGCCAGGACCGCAACTCTGGGTTCTCAGTCCTGTTCTCTCCAGCTCTGAAGGCCCCATCGGCTGACCTCTGGTTTCTGCGGTTCCGGGTGGGGAGCCTGCTGCTCGCCTGTCTTTTCTTCTCGGCAACTGTAAAAATCTCTGAAGTGTCCTGCAGTATCACCACTAGGCAGCAAGGGGTAAACTTTTCGTTTATCTTACAGAGGAAGCACTGTGATTGCTGAATCGGAAGACTGCTGCTTTTCATCCCATGCTCCCGGATGACTCTCAGGTATGTCTGTGGAGTATGTCCTCACCCCATTCTCTTGATCCTCTTCACGTGGACATGTGACAGACCTTCTCATCCCGTTCCCCGTGTCTCTCAACCCACGTTTCTGTCTGCGTGATGCCAGGTCTACCTCGTCCTCTAATTCTCTTCAGTTATATTTAGTCTGCTGTTTAAGCCATCGTTGAAGTAACCATTTACAAACTTGCATTTTTATTACTAAAAGCATTATCTTGTTCTTTTCCAAACCTTCCTTGCCTTTTGGGATGACATTCTGTTCTTTCCTGTTTTCTTTCTACCTTTTATTTCATTAAACATTTTTAAAATACTCAATATTTTATATCTAATGGTTCCAATTCCTAAGTTCTTGAGAACCTGATTCTACAGTTTGTTTTCTACTGACTCTTTTCAAGAAGCATCACTTCAAGTGTCTCGTAATTTTGGATTGTTAGCTCGTCTCTGGCCAGGGTTGGGATGCCTGCGTAGATGTCCTTCCAAAGAGGATTTACTTTGTTTCTGTCCGATGTCCTTGTACACTATCAAATTATGTACACAGTAATTTAATTTCTTATCCAGTGATTATCCAGATCACTTAAGTAGTGCAATTTTGAACCCCAAACGCCTGAGAGGAAAGGTGATTTTCAATTCTTGGAATGAGTAGTTTTTCCCACCCAGAGCCCAGGTCAAGAGAGATAATAACTCTTTGTCATCTCCTTTTACCAGGTAGCAGATTCTTCCTATTCTGTCTTTTCATTCAATGTGTCACCCTTTACAGTTTCCCAATATATGTGAGGGTCTCAGTCCCAACTTTCTACTTCCTAAGGTCCCAAGGCTCTGTGTCTCTTTCTTGGACAGCTATTAAACTTAAATTTCTTGGTTATAAAGACTGGCAAGAGCCTGTGGGGCAATTGTAGCTTCATAATCAGCTAAGATTCTAACGTTTCAAGGTCCTTATTTTGTTTTGTTTTTTCACCCTTAGGGATTACTTTACTTTGGGGGGATATTCAGCTGTGCATCTAAAAGGAGAATTGTTATAGTTCAGCCAGCACTTCCAGGTACTTTATATAGAAAGATCTTCTAGAATAATTAATCCCACGTATTGCCAGTACCAATTTCTCAACCTATTTCAACATAGTTTTGCATGCTCAACATTCCAACAGCACAGCTATCAGTAAGGTATTTGGTGACCTCCGTGTTGCTCAATCCAATGATCTGCACCTTTTTTGACCTACAGTAGCCTCACATTGGCCTCCACGGCACCACACTCTTTTGTTGTCTTGTACATCTCTGGCCTCCCCTTGGTCTCATTTGTTCCTCCATTACTTTGCCTCTACAGTTGGAGTTCTTCCAGTTTCCATATTAAGCCCTCAACTCTTCTCATTGTATATATATTTACTACCGGGTCATCTATCAGTTTTCACAGCTTAAATATCCCTATTAACAGCTTAATGTAAGTTTACTCTGCCGAGCTCCAGATCCATATCATCTGACATCCCATGTGCCACCTCCGTTTGGATGTCTCAAACTCAACAGTCTAAAGAGAACTCTTACTCTTCCCTCCATAACTTGTTTCTCTCTCGGTGGTCACCACTTTGGTAAATGGCGTCTCCATCTACCCAACTGCTCATATCAGAAACCTGGGAGTCATTCTGGACACACCCCCCACTCTTTCTCATCTTCAACATCTAGTTCATTTACAAATATCGATGATTCTACCTCCAGAATACGTTTGGGATTCATCAACTTCTCTCTACCTGCTTCCCCATAACTCTAGTCCAAGCTACCATCAATTTTCACCTAGACTCCTACAATAAATTAATCTATTACTGACTTTTCAAAGTACTTTTTACCCAGTAGCCACAGTGGTCTTTTAACCCCTTCAGTGGCCTCTCATTAGTCTAAAGCCCAAAATACCTAACAGCCCCCGACCGTCTCACCAGCTTCACCTCCCACAATCTCCCCCACCCTCCAGCCACATCGCCTTTCGGTGCCTTGCATTTATTTCATTCTCTCTCCTCTCTGGGTCTTTGCACAATGCTGTTCCCTCTGCCCAGAAAGCTCTTCCTGCCCCACTTACTGTCTACTACTCTTCACCTGCTTAGTTTTGTCAACTTTGAGATTGGCTTAAATTTCATCTCCTCACAGAGAATTTCCCTAACCTCCCTGCTGAATTAGCACCTGTACTTTTCTTTCATAGAACATATCACAATTTGTAAGTCTCTGTTTTTCGAGTGGTTGTTTCTTTGTCTTTATTTGCCACTGTAGACCCTTAGCGCCATGAGAACAAGATCTATTTGTTTTGTCAGCTGCTATATAGTTGATCAATACCTGATCAAGTACCTACCATAGTAGCACTCAACAAATACCTGCTGACAAATAAATAAATGAATAAGCACAACAAAGAAACTTCTTTCACCTTCAAATCACTGGCTAATCAATACCCAAAAGACCCATCTCTTGAGTTTTAGTTTAGGTAGAGGGACAGTTTCAAAGCCACACACCGTGACTCTGGGGAAATCACTTCACGACTGGGTTCACGCTGCTCGCGTCCGTCGGCTGCAGGGAGTTTCTCTGGCTGCGTGACTCCAGCACCTCACTCTCCTGCAGCTCCTTTTGATTTTAACATATTCCCAGGGGAGATTTTTGAGGGTCGGGGGCTCATACCCAATGCTTAAGGATGTGGAAGGGCCACACAAGAAAGCACGCCAGTGTCGTGGCAGCCTTTCTGGAGAAGCTGCCGTCCCGCAGTGCTTACTAAGAAATGAAACAGACATATCTATAATCCAGAAACTCCATTCCCTGGAGATGACCCCCCAGAGAACTCTGCACAGGCCCTCGAGAGGGTCATCATGCCATTGTCTGTAGTACGAAGGAGCTGGATGCAACCTGAGAGCCCATGATTAGGAGAATGGATAATGGGATATATGCAAGTGACGGGAAACTATGTCTCAAGAAAAAGCAAGGAGCTGGATTTACATGCAGCACCATGGGTAGAGCTAAATCTTAGCTATAGAATGTTCTTAGTTAAAAACAAAGCTTCAACTTTGATACAGTCAAATTCATCTACCTTTCCCCCTATGGTTTGCATCTTTGAAGCCTTATTTATGAAATCTTTCTTTTGGCTGTATAACTTTACCTCTGACTTGTAGGTTTTTAATGCATTTGGAATAAGGATCCAACCTGACTTTTCCTTCCCTGCAGTGTCCACCCTGGCCATACTTTGGCCAATTATGTTTTGTGTCTTTCAAACATTTTACGCCAGTTCTGATCTCCCCCTGTGTTTAGCACTGAGCCTCTGGAGGTTCCTTGGCCAGAAGTCTCCCGAGGGAGGGCAGGGTGCTGCCAGCCAGGCCCCAGGTGGGCAACACCAGGCTCGGGAGAACAGGGCTGCTAGGCCTCCTTCCGACACCGCGCTTCTACATGAAACTGAAAACTATGAATTTTTTTTTTTTTATGAAACTGGCTATTAGCAGCTAACCATTCAACTTTATGTTCTCTTTAAATTGAAAGTCCTCAAAAATGTCTTTTAAGTTCAAATAGTTTTCTAGTTTTAGACTGATGGAAAAAGTTGGGCATTGTTTTGTTTCCCCCAAACTACATAAACATTTCCCTCAAAGACTGCATCACTGAGAATATGCTCAGAGGAAGCCTCACTCAACAGGCAGCTACTCTTCAATAAAAGAAGAGAATCCAGACTGCCTTGTTCATCCTGAGATAAGTGTTATTAAAAATCAGATTCGTGGCGGGAGGAGAAAAACATCCAAAGAAAACAGCACAGAGAGGTCGGGGGACTCAAGGGGACAGAATCCGCGGCGCACAACCAGCAGATGGAGACAGCAGAGGCTTCGCGAGGCGCCTGAACATCCCTGTTTAGTTGGGGCTCAGGCCCATCTACCCGTCTGTGGATGACGGCAAACACACCCAAAGTCAGGCACTCAGACGACACACCTGCCACCACTCCAGCCGGCCTTGGAAGAGTAGGGAGGCTGGCAGGTCACACTGTCGTTGCCAGAGCAGCACACTCCTCACTCAAGCCCCCACCTGCACTAGTGGGCAGCCATGCCGTCTGCACGCCACTCCCACCTGCCCTCCCCCCACCCCGCCCCCCACCCCCGCAAAGAAAACCAATTCCAACCCTGGAGTCTTGGATGCACCCGGAAGCCGAGACTCACAGAGGAGCCTGCTCTTCTAATTTGCATCCACCCTTAAACAGGCGTTTAATGAGCACCTACTGTATGCCAGACCACACAGACATTGAAGCGCAATTTGTGACAAGCCCAGTGCTAATGCAGAGATGTCCCTGCAGAGAGAACCTCAAGCCTCGGTGGCTTTTAGAAACCCTCTAACCTTGTCTCCTCGTTAGAGGGCACCGAGAGCCAAGGAGGCCCTGCCTTCCAGCATCGGGAGAAGGTCAGCCTCTGCGGGCCGGGGTAGGCCACCCAGGAAGGCGTCCACTGGCACAGAAAGAAGCTCGCACTTCCCCTCCTCAAGGCACCCAAGTCCCTCAGACGGTGCCCCCATGACAGCCAGCCTGGGCTGACGGTCCAGGTCCCGGGGCAGAAGGCCACCGGGCCCCTATGGGAGGCGCAGGGCGTGGCCAACAGACTGAGTTCCTCTAAAGGGTCCAGGCCACCGGGTCCAAATCGGTGGTTCCCACCCAAGGGCGAGCTTGCCCCCAGGACACTCAGCAAGGCCCAGAGGCAGCTGTGGTGGTTACGACTGGTAGAGGTGCCGCATGCATCTAGCGGGCCGGGCCTGGGACGCGGCTAAACGTCCTACAAGGCATAGGGCGGTCCCCCCTACAGCGAGGAACTGCTGGCCCAAAGTGTCGACGGGACTGAGGCTGAGAATCCAGTTTACAAGCTCTCGTCCATCCTGGGAACACAAATAAACCCTGCCCTCTCGCCCTTCCCCAGCCGCTGACAAAAACCACATGGCCCGCCCTCCCTCCCCAGAGGGAGAAGTGATTACTGTCTTTATCTCGGGCACCAGAGCCCGCCAGCACGGGCCCCACAAGCCAGCCCTCTGGGAACACGCGGCGGCGGGCTCCGCAGCCCCGCCCCCGCCCACCGCTGGCCCCGGGGCTCGGGATATTCTGATCCTCTGGAGACCACTGAGAAGCAGGCAGCTGGGAAAGGCGATATTTATGGAAAACAAACGCCGAAAGTGCCTGAGCGCATTACCACGGGCGCAAAACCACGGTCCAAACGGTTCAGGGGAACCGGGTGGATTCTTCCTTCAGTGCCCTCGGGAAGTGCCTGGTACAGCCGCTTCTGCCACCTGCCCTGCTGGGGCCTATCCCAGTTCACCCAAGGGCGCCTGCGGTGGGCTCCCATCCCCGAGAGCCTAGAGGACACTCGCAGTGGGCTTTTAACGTGAAATCAGCGAGCCCCAGCTCACCGACACGGGGTGGGTCTTCTGCCGTGGGAACGATCCGGGAACGATGAAGATCACTGTGACCGTTCAGTAAGCTGAAGGCTGGGGCGGCCGGCATTTGTTCACGTGCACGCACACGCACACGTGCCCACACAGGCGGTCCCTTCCTTTTGCACACTTTGCCAGGGGAACGGGGACAACGTCACCCGTTCTCGGGGAAGGAAGAAGGGAATCAGGGTGCCTGGAGCCTGCTCCACGCTGGGTCCCCATCTTCCTCAACAGTAAACCCCCCACCCCGTGGACACCGCCGAGCTCACCGCAGCCGATGCCACCTCACAGCGACACTCAGGCCGCTCGGGGCGCCAGCAGCATCTGGGGCTCATCACAGGCATGCCGCCCAGGAGGTAGGGAGCCCCCTTGCCTGGAGACAAGACCACAGGTGTCAGGAACGTGGGCAGGAGCCGCCGGGGGGGGGGGGGGGGGGGGGGGCGGGGGGGGGGGGGGGGGGGAAGCGGCCAGAGGGGCTGGAGATTCCTTCTCATCATCAACGTAAGGCGGCTGGCACACCAACACCCTTCACTCCTCCTTCAAGTCTCTCTGTGGTTCCCACCGGCGTGAGGAGGCAGGGGGTCTGGGACCTTGGGGGTGCGCTAGGAGGTGAGGGGGCATCTGCAGATCGGGAGGGGCCACATCGGATTCTTTACACAGGGGAACAATGCAGAGCGTGAGTGTGTGTTCACGCGCGTGAGTGGGAGAGCATGCGTGTGCATCCTTGTATCATCAGGATCCTCAGACAGACCCTAATGCAAAGGTCCCGGGCTCTGGTGAAGCTCCGCCAGCAACCTGTGGAGCAGGGCTGGAGGGGGCGGGCCCGACTGCAGGGTCCCCAGTGCCGGGCTCTGCGTCTCCGTAGCTAGCGAAGGGGACAGCACGGCCAGGAGGCACAGAGCACCCAGGCCACACCCAAGTCAGAGGCCGGCCAGGAAGGCCAACTCCCTGGGGCCCGGGAAGCCTGCCCCAGGCAGGTAACACAACCCACTTCCAGCCCAGAGAAGTGTGTCAGTAAGACCCGCCCGCTTCAATAGACTCTTTCTCTGAAAGGTTTCGCAAAGCCACCACCAAGGTGAATATGTTGTGGGCCTTCTCCTGCCTGGACGAACGTAAAAGGAACAGGTCTAATAGGGGTCTGTGAACAGGAGAACAAAGCCTGATAGCGTCTAGCCTCGTGGTCACCCTGCTCCCCCCACCCCCCGGCCAGAGCGATCACCCACGTGACACAGAGCAGGCCTTCCAGGGCCCACCCGGGACCCGAGGCACAGCGACCCGCAGGACAGGCAGGGCTGGCCCGGCCCACGTGCTCTTTGCTCTCCATTCAGCAGAGAAAACACTGGGCAGGACAGTGACCATGAGCTGAACACCCGCCCTCTCCACCCACGTGACGCAGCCCCTTACAGGCCTCCGAGAGTGCGGAGGGGAAGGGACCAGGCCTCCGGAGAACAGCGAGGCGGCGGCAGGACGAAATCCAAACCCCTGCCACCGGGCCTGTGGGCGGGGCGTTCAGGCGCTTGTCCAAGGAGAGTTAAAAACAATAACACAACATTGTAA